ACACACACACACACACACACACACACACACACGCACGCGCACACATGCACACACACACACACACTCTCACACTCACACACTCACACACAAGTCAAGTCAAGTCAAGTTTATTTGTATAGCGCTTTCAACGACACACACCATTGCAAAGCAACTTTACAGCAAATTAAGTTTCTACCGCTTTTCACGATACAAATCGTTGCAAAGCAACTTTACAGCAAGTTAAGTTTCTACAATATTTAGCTTATCAGTGGTGACTGTCAGTTAATGTACAAATGGCAGAAATGTACGGAAAAATCAATTTAAGACATAATAAAACAGACGATGAACACTATTAACAGCAATTATTATATGATGCAATCAAACTTGTCAATCCCGTGGCAAAAACAGAGAATCAAATACAGACATAATTAGCGTAGCTGCTGTTCCAACCAAGCAAAATTGATTTGTTTAACCCAAACTAAAGAATAATAATGTGCATTTGATCAGATATAACTGCAGTATAAGATTATGAGATGCATTATACACACACACACACACACACACACACACACACACACACACACACACACACACACACACACACACACACACACACACACACACACAGACAGACAGACAGACAGTATATAAACATGCTGCGTCTCTGAATGAGGTGATATTAATGAATGGATACTGTGATGTAAGTGATGGCTGATAAATTTAACAAAATAAAATGACGTTTAATTTCTCCATAAAATGTGTCATAGAGCTCAGCAGCGCGTCTAATGCTCTTTAATGTCCTTTGACCACATAAAACCTAAATGCTGTTCAATTGGTTGTGAATAAAATCACCTATTTATTTATTTTAGTGACCTTCTTTCCCATGAGGTTCAAAGTGTGTGATTTGAGGTCATGTGTGTCGGCCGTGAAGCAGTGACATTTCAGGACACACAACCAAACGCTGTTTTCTTCCAAATGAGAAACAAAATCTTGGAAAAACAATCCTGTTGTTTTTGGAGAGAAAACCCACTGTGGTTAACAGAATAATTCTGTAAAAATGCACTAAAAGTGTAAATATATTTGCAGGACAAACTTTACGTTTCACAGTTTAAAATGGTCATTTTTGTTTGTAAATTACATTTTAAAACAGTAAATTTAAAGCCCTTTTTTGCCTTTTTTAAGGACTATTATACAGTAGGTAACTAAAAACAATAATAATAAAAAATAAATGTTATTTGAAATAAAAATTGAACTGAAAAAATTAATTTTAATAAAAAAATTTTTTTAAATATATATATATATATATTTTTAAATTAATTTTTATTTTATATATCTATATATAATATATATTGCTAATTCAACAATTCTTATTTTCATTTAACCTGATGTACTACAAACTGAAAAAAAATGTTTGTAATTTTTTATTAATATATATATATATATATACTGTATATTAATAAAAAATTACAAAAACATTTTAAAACAAAATTTCCTAAACTTTCATTAAATTTAAATTTAATTCATAACTGATAACAAAAACTATTAAGAAATAAATTTCAGGCGATATACAATCATATGTCACACAATGAATGTCAGTTTTCCATTTGTCACTGTAAATTAAATTACATTATTTTTTTTATTTATAAAATGCTACATTTACCAATATTTTACTGAAAAAATTACAGTACATGAAATGTAAGGATCAATCTATTACAGTATAGTTTTCCCTCAGGTATAGTAAGAACTCTTTTTATTAGTCTTGTACAGTACAGACGATGCACATGAAGAAGCTTTAAACATAAAGGAGATCATGAAATATTCTCTTTTTTATTCTGCATTAAAATCAAAGAGTCAGACTCTAGCGTGTACGTTCATTAATCATTGCCCAGCTTCTCAAGGGATTGTTAGATGTTGAATTAGTCGTCTAGGTAGTTGCCATGTGATGCAGAGTGAAATGCACTTGATAGAGCTCAAATCCAAAGGCAGCTGACTCATTCTGCTCAAGGACGTGTGCGTTTACACGATTAACAATATGAGGATTCGTGCTTCGATACAGAGTGATGAGACGGAGGGAGGGATGTGTTTGATACATGATTGTGAATCTTTAACTCTGTTCTCTTCACAGCGCCTCCTACTGTCCAGATTGTGCACTCGGGTCACGCGTGTAACGTGGAGGAGGAGCGTTACTCTGAGAGGGTTTACACCATTCGAGAGGGAGAGACACTCGAGCTCACCTGCCTGGTCACCGGACATCCACGACCACAGGTGAGAGAGAGAGAGATGACCACCACCTGTCAATCCCTGCCTCAACATCCAATAGCAACCCAGGCTCATTCGAAATACGTGCCTCTAAATACATTTCTGCAGCACCATTATTACGTACCTCACTGCACGTTTCGCTGCAGTTTCAAAGTGAAACACCCAGTGAGTGGCGCTAGAACACAGGTTCAATACGTGACCCTGACACGTATTTGTTACGTTGATATAGGAACGTATTGCTGTGTTTGTATTACGTTGCTTCAGGTACATATTGCGGTGGTTCATAATTAAAATATTCGAGTAGTGTCGCTAAAATTTAATGCTCTATCATATTGGACATATCCCCTACACCAAACCCAACCCTAAACCTACGCGATAGTGTTAACAAATGCAAAAGTGATATAAAAATGCATTTGTTGATGCAGCCGTGCAACAAATTTTAACTTCCTTTTGCAGATTTGAGCCGTTTTGTCGAACCGTGGTTTCAAACCGGAACTCTTCACCACCTAAGTGAAACGCCGTAACGCGTGAGCTACCGAGCAAACCTATTGAATTAAAAAACTGTGTGTCGACAACGTTTAAATGCATCGGTTTTCAAATCTCGCAGCATGTTAACATTGTTTTGAATTCATAACAATATTCTTCAAGTAATTATGCTAAAATTAGGCTTTATTAATCGAAACTGTGGACCTGTAAATCATACTTTGTGTGAAAAGGAATAAAAGCTGTGGGAGTTTTACTGCCTCTAGTGTTCATTTCAGCTGGAAACTGCAGCAATTTTTATGTATAGGTAAATTTTTTGAGTTTCACAGATATGTAGGTAGAGGCACGTATTTCCAGTGAGCCTAGGTTGTCCAGTAGGGATGCACCGATATATCGGCCGATAATCGGTATCGGCATATAATCGGTACATGCTGTCAATCAAAAGAGGGTGGAAATATGTGTCAGATTGCTACTCATGTGTGAAGGAAATGTCTCTAGAATTTCGGGTTGCCAAAGTTAACGCGATAATGCAATCTCACTTTAAAAATAGTGCCGTTACCTCAGGTTCTGTTCGACTCTATGAATCACCTGTAGTTCAAAGGGCAGTTCACCCAAAGATAACAATTCTGGCATCATTTACTCAGCCTCAAGTTGTTCCAAAACTGTATGACAAAAGAAGAATGGCTGGTAGCCATTGACTTCCATAGTATGGACAAAATACTATGGAAGTCAATGGCTACTGTCAACTGTTTGGTTGCCAACATTCTTCAAAATATTGTCTTTTGTGTTCAACAGACGAAAGAAACTCATACAGGTTTTGAACAATTTGAGGGTGAGTAAAGATGACAGAATTTTCATTTTTGGGTGAACTGTCCCTTTAAGTCAGGGTTGCCAGGTTTGTGGTTTCCCCTTCACTAAACATTATTTGTAATGTGCCTCCCATCCAATAATAGCAAAGAGCTTTGTGTTTTGTGACTTCTGATAAGATCAAAGTCTCAACTTTCAAATTCTGTCTTTCAAACAATGAATGCCGTTTTGATGTTTAAATGTGGCGTGAGAATTCGCTGTAGTGCCTCAGTTCAAGCAGGAGTCTCTTCCACTTTAACAAGTTGTAAGGTGAAATAAACATGAATAAACATTAGAAGGTGTTGAAAGATACAACCTACTGAAATGAATCATGTCTAATGTAATCAATCAATAAGTCATGGAAAGATGCCAATAAAACAGCTTGTGATCAATATGTCACTTACCGTTGTAAGGAGCTAGAGAGGAGCATATTTACTGTTAATTATATATGTGACCATGGACCACAAAACCAGTCTTGATCTTTACTTAATATCCTAATGATTTTTGGCATAAAAGAAAAATCGATAATTTTGACGCATACATTGTTTTTTTGGCTATTGCAAAAATATACCCAAGCGACTTAAAGGCACAATATGTAATTTTCGCCTCTAGAGGGCGCATATTTAAAATTAACAAAGAGACAAAGGCGTAGTTAGATGACGCCGTGACTGAGTGTGGAATCATGGGAGTTGTGGTCTTCATCCCCACAGCCGATGCAATCCGATGGGACTCGGGCAGAAATCATGTTCATGGATGAGCTAATGATTTATTAACGTAGTAGAATGAAGCAGGGTGAGGCTGAAAGTCATCGAAGCGAAACGAGGCCGCTGAACAAGCGCGACACATGGCTCGAAAGCAGCAGAGCTTTTATTAGGCCCTAAGATAAGAACCAAGGTTTCCTTCACATGTCTAAAGCACATAGGCTCCGCCGCATGACCTTGAGCATGCGAAGCGGGTTTCCCCTGAGGGAGAACCCCTTGGTCTTAAGTCAAGTCAAGTCAAGTCACCTTTATTTATATAGCGCTTTTAACAATACAGATTGTGTCAAAGCAACTGAACAGCATTAATTAGGAAAATAGTGTCAATAATGCAAAATCACAATAGTAAACATTAATTTTTCAGTTAAAGACAGTTCATCATTGAATTCAGTGATGTCATCATCCAGCTCAGTTCAGTTTAAATAGTATCTGTGCAATCATTTGCAATCAAGTCAACGATATCGCTGGAAATGAAGTGTCCCCAACTAAGCAAGCCAGAGGCGACAGCGGCAAGGAATATAAGCGCTCGCCGGAGACCTCTGCACCCTGCTACACCGGCAGGGTTGGCAGACCGATCTCCTGAGGAAAGACGGGCACCATGTAACGCGGTGTACACTGTTCTTCCCCAGAGGGAACTGATCCTCAAAAAGTCCTAGGCCTTAGGCCTCAGGACATTTAAGACGAAGACTATCCAGCGAGAATGACGGTCCGCAGAACCGCCTTCTGCTAGAAGCCTCCGGCCTGGGAGCGCCACTCTGACTCTAGACTCTGCAAAGTACAAGAAGTGACGCCCCCAGAATGAGGGGCTGGAAAATGGTAGGTTGGGACTGCACCCGCCCAGCAGCCCCTGCTGACCGCCTCAACCTCCTCAGAGGAAGAGAGGTAAAAGCATGCTCTCACTCAAGAAATTTTTATCCCAAGAGCCCCTGTATATCTAACTTCTCATAGTCAGATAAATACTTAATTTTATTCCTCAGAATTAAATGCAGTCAAACAACCAGATGAGTAAATACGGTCTGGTGTAGTAGAGGTAGTGAGCCTCTTAGTACCGCTACATTTCTGGGTGGTAACTGAGAGAAGCGCTCGCCGGAGACCGCTGCACCCTGCAACACCGGCAGGGTTGGCAGACCGATCTCCTGAGGGCACTGAGGAAAGACGGGCACCATGTAACGCGGTGTACACTGTTCTTCCCCAGAGGGAGCTGATCCTCAAAAAGTCCTAGGCCTTAGGCCTCAGGACAATTAAGACGAAGACTATCCAGCGAGAATGACGGTCCGCAGAACCACCTTCTGCTAGAAGCCTCCGGCCTGGGAGCGCCACTCTGACTCTAGACTCTGCAAAGTACAAGAAGTGACTCCCCCAGAACGAGGGGCTGGAAAATGGTAGGTTGGGACTGCACCCGCCCAGCAGCCCCTGCTGACCGCCTCAACCTCCTCAGAGAAAGATGGCTGCAGCAGCAAGCTCTCACTCAGAGGGGGGAAGAAACCGCAGCGCGAACTTCCAAGCCTCGAGAACGAGTTCTAGATCGAGGGAACACGGGTGGAGATATGAAGAGCCGTCTCCAACCCGTCCGCCAGGTGTAATATACTAGTTGCCTTGGCAGCGCGCAGCCGCTCAGTCACACAAACAACATCAACCTCCTCAGAGAAAGATGGCTGCAGCAGCAAGCTCTCACTCAGAGAGGGGGAAGAAACCGCAGCGTGAACTTCCAAGCCTCGAGAACGAGTTCTAGATCGAGGGAACACGGGTGGAGATATGAAGAGCCGTCTCCAACCCGTCCGTGTGTAACTGATGCTTGTGCAACTGGCGAGCTCTTCGACGCCCTCCATATCAATCTTCTCGGAGAAAGACAGGCGGAGCATCGCGCCCTCTCCCCAGGGGAAGGATCACAGGGGGTTTCGGCTTCCGAAACCTCGAGAGCGGGCGCCGGATCTGGTGGTTAAGGAAGCAGATAGAGACTCGCCCGTCTGCATTCCATCCACCGGATCCATATGCGAAAACCACGAGCACACTGCCTCGGCGAAAGCGGGCCCGGCACCGCGAGGAACGCTAGTGAAGGCTCCCTCCTCAAAGAGAGCCCTCTGAGAGCGAAGCAAGGCAGTAACAAACGCGGGCAGGGAGGAACACACAGCCTGAATGCTGCCTGCCCTCGCCTTAGGTGTTTGGTTTTGTCTTGTGATTTCGTGACAAACAACACTAAATAAGACTCACAAACAGATAGCAAGCTGACACACACAGAGCGCTTGCTGAATGACAGAAAGCTGACGCCGGTTTCACCGCACATGCTTTTATGCTTCCTGGTCGCTACGTCACCCGCCCGTGACAGAGCCCATCCATTGGAATGATTACACATGTGATTCAGAGCGTGGTCACGCTGGAGGCGTTCTCTTAGCATTTCGACGCAGCTCGAGTTCCTGAAGGGGAAATATAGTTCAATGTAGGTCAGAGTTCTAAAAAACAACATTGTTTTTTAAAATAAAATTGCAACAGTTAAGTTCTACAAAATACATAGTAAAATATATTTTACTGTTAAAGTATTATTTAAAATTTGAATTTTAATCCGTTTTCATTTCATTTGATCTTTTTAAATAATTTTGTTAAGTGCATTTGTCATTTTTATTATTATTTTTATTTTATTTTATTTTTTATTTTTCAAGTGATATAAATTGCATTAATTTTAGTACTTCAACCAAAACTTCTTTTCACTTTCCAATTTCAGTTGAAATTTGACATCTAATTTTAATAATGTATTTTATTTCAGCTATATTTAAATTAACAAAACATTTTTTTATATTCATATTTTTATATTTTTTATTTATTTTAACAACTTTAACAACTTTTCATTCAAAGTCCAGGTGCTTCACCTAATATATCAAACATTTCTGGAAAATACAGTAATGCACATGCTGTAAAACTGGC